TTTTGGCAGATCTTTTTTGCCGTAAAGCAATTCATTACATCGCGAGACCTGATATCACGCGATACTTCCTGATGCTACGGCCGGCGGCACGCCGGCTTAAAGTTGCAAGTGTGGTTTTTCCACTCACAGGTGATAGAAAAAAAGTAATATAACCATTCCAATGACTCCGAAGCTGTTCAGTTAAGGTAAAAAACCTGCATAGTTCACCTTTAACTGCTTAGGATGGATGATGATGTGCTTGAGACCACCTAAACCGGAGACTTGCTCAGGCTGAGTTTAACTCACTAGTTAGACAATCTTAATATATTTTCCCACTGCAGTGCTTTTTTCCCCTTCAGAATGAGATCCAGCAGTTCATTCTAATATTATCAGTCTGCAATCCCGGTGGCCGCAATTTTAGGACCACATTTCTAGGACCCTAGTTTTTTGTGTGTGTGTGACAGCGCTACTCATGAAAATGACGACGTCACACATATGTCTGCGCAACGTGCGTGTGCTATCTGGGTGTGTGTCCTCTTTCTTTTGTGAAATAACGGTAAACCACTTTATTTCTGTGTGAAAAGAAAGGCTCCAATCACTCCCTCCGGCCTCTTTGGTGACGCCATGGAGTCAGTTACTGAGCATTGTTCTGAGGCGCAGAAGCACGAAGGCTATGAGGTGCGAATATTGCTGCACGTTCCAGAACTCGTCGAGGTCTCTCTCTTTGTCGGCACCTCGTCCCGCCTAAGTTCGGCTGACCAGCCTGCCAAAAACGGCTCCGCACTGAGCCGGATCTTCGCCGTAGGCAGTGGGCGGGACCAGGAATGTAGCGACACGTACCACGGGAAGCGCCACGGCTAAAACAGGCGTGGGTCCGTCACTGACTTTGCCTCAAAACGCCCCGTTCTGAGAATGGAAGTGCACTGTAGCTATTTCGTGGTGCTCAAGAGGGATGGAAGACTCCGTCTGATACTGATATGTGTTTATGCTGTTACGTTGCCCTGTATCCTTTAGTGCACCTGGCTATTCTGATCTAACTGCGTATATTCACAGTTGTAGTCGCTGCTGCCACTGATGCTGTGTTTTTACACTGATATATGTTTATGCTGTTATGTTGCCCTGTATTGCTCAGTGCAACTGGCTATTCTGATCTAACTGCGTATATTCACAGTTGTTGTCACTAAGGCCACTGACGCTGTGTTTATGTTCATACTTATATGAGTCTATATGGTTATGTTGCCCTGTATTGCTCAGTGCAACTGGCTATTCTGATCTAACTGCGTATTTTCACAGTTGTTGTCGCTAAGGCCACTGACGCTATGTTTATGTTCAACTTCATACTGATATGAGTCTATACGGTTATGTTGCCCTGTATTGTTCAGTGCAACTGGCTATTCTGATCTAACTGCGTATATTCACAGTTGTTGTCACTACAGCCACTGACGCTTTGGTTATGTATACTGATATGTGATTATGATATGCAATTCCGGTGTACTTGAGCTGAGCTGTCTATCAGCTGTGAGCACTCCCAGAGGAGCAACGCTATTGGCTGTTGTTCCTACAAGAGAGTGTCAGTATCCTCGTGGCCCCGAACTGGCCAAATCAGCCCTGGTTTGCAGACCTGAGAGAGTTAATGGTGGCTCCCTCATGGAAAATCCCCCTCAGGAAGGACCATGCTGTCTCAGGCGGATGGCACGATATGGCACCCCAGCCCCGAGCTGTGGAACCATAATGTGTGGCCGCTGCGGGGACCTTGAATGAGCGGGACACTCTGCATTCACGAGTGCTGAGCATAGTCGAGGAGGCACGCGTGCCTTCTACTAGATCGCCTCTGCGCTCTGAGATGGGGAGTTTTTCTGTTTACAAAATGGTGCTTGGACATCGATTTGACCCGGGGATCGTTCCGTGTCGGATGTTTCGCGCTTTCTACAGCTCGGAATGGAGAGCAGGACTTTGCCATCCACGCTAAGGTGTAGGTGGTCGCTATTGTTGCTGTTCGTTCTCCGGTTGACGGGCAATCGATCGGTAAGCACGCTTTGGTGATCAGATTTCTCAGGGGAGCGAGGAGATTGTGTTCTTCACGGCCGCCCTCCGTGCCGCCGTGAGATCTAGCTCTGTTTTTGAGAGCTCTACCTCTACCACCGTTTGAGCCCCTAGCTTCGATTGCGGTTGAGGAGCTTTCCCTGAAGACTGCCTTACTTGCTCTCACCTCAGCGAATCGCATTGGAGACTTACACGCGTTCTCGGGGAACGACGATTGTATTTGTTTCGGACCTGGCGACAGCAGCGTCACTCTCCGGCCGAGACCAGGCTACGTTCCGAAGTCACTCAACACACCATTTAGAGCACAGGTTGTTTCACTGCCCGCCTTTTCTGCTGAGCCATCAGCCTCGCGTGACGCCGACGCTAAGAGCGCTGTTTGCCCGGTAACAGGGCTTTGCGGACATACGTGGATAGCTCGGCCGCCTTTCGTCAGTCGGACCAGCTGTTCGTGTGCTTTGGTGGATGTAATAAGGGATGTGCCGTTTCAAAAGAGAGACTCTCACTAGATTGTGGATGCTATTGCATTGGCTTACGAATGCCAGGGGAAAGATTGTCCCCTTAACATCAGAGCTCATTCTACAAGGGCAATTGCTTCCTTGTGGGCCTGGGCTAGAGGTATGTCTATCCAGGATTTATGTAGCTGGCTGGTTTCTCAGAACACATTCGTCAGGTTTTACAAGCTGGATGTACCCTCTGTAGAGTCACACGTACTTTCGGGGAGTTGAGTTTTACTGAAATATTTTGTTATCTGTTAACCAGCTATGCAGTAGTTATCTAGCTGCTAACTCTGTGTTATGGTTAATAAAGTTGATGCAGCTGTCACCGCAATCGCCGTCGACAATGCGTTGAACTCTCATGCTTGAGTGCTTATTGTGTTGTGTCTGCCCTATTCAGTGCAGCCTTCAGTTCCATTGCTTTCAGATATACAGATTTTGATAAGGTCGGAGCAGGCATCTCTTTGGTCTAGTACCTCCTATCAGATGAGAGCGCTCTTATCGACGCGGCTATTGGCTAGAACTGTCTTGCTTACCTTGGGTGTGGTTTGACCCCGTTCAGGGCTTATCTTCACTGCTCTCATGGCGGGATTTAATACAGTTCCCATAAACGTCACGCTGACGTAATGTTGAAGTTACCACCTCGAAAGGGAACGTCTCCGGTTACTATCGTAACCTTGGTTCCCTGAGAGGCGGGAACGAGACATTACGTTAGCCGCCGTGCTCGCTGTTTGGTCAGCTGTGCTAGCGTTCAGTCGTGATTCTGACGTAATTGTTGCGCCCATGCATTTTAAATTGCCCGGGAACCTGTCAGTATTTACATGTTTCGCGTCAATTGGCCAGCTGTCCCCAGCTGGTGTTAGCCCATAAGATTTCAGCGAAAGTGGAGAAGGGAGGAGTTCCCATATATGTCACGCTGACGTAATGTCTCGTTCCCACCTCTCAGGGAACCGATCACGATAGTAACCGGAGGCGTTTTGCGATCTCGCTAGTTTCCAATGATTTCTTTCTATAGTTTTCTGATAAAACCTCCATTTGATGGTGAAATGATGGGTTTGTGTGACGTTGTTCCAGAGAGGCGTGTTAAGCCGTTTATACTTTCGCCTGGCTCTGCAGCGCGAGTCTCCGCTGCCTTCGCGCACACCTCCCCAAGCGGATGAGGCATTTGACGCGCCCGCCGTTGTACTATTCTTTGAAACGAAAGGGGGCGACTCGGACTAAATGTCCTCTAAACAATCAGAAATCAGTGGTGAGAAGTAGTAAGGTACACACGTGACAATGTTTATTTTAGTACACCACCAATATGCTACAAAAGAATCGTGTAAAACCCAGTAAACCTTGAGATTATTAACATTAGAACAACATGGATATGAGAACACGTATACAACTAAATTAACGAGCTCTTAAACATTTCCATTTAGTTTTGTGAAAATTATTAAACATGGACCTTTATGTTCATTGAAAATATACTCAAATCACTATGCAGGTCTGACTCTGAGTGATTACTAGAGAGAACGCTTGGAAATGAGCTGCATGTATACATCAATAATGTGAAACAGCACACAATTTAATGAATTAAAACGGCAAAATGCTATATTGGTGTCACATGATCCGATTACCTCAAACTCTTACTTCACATCCAACTTGGTTTAAATAAGAGATGACAATTTTCATTTATTGGTTCATTCACACAGAAAGCAGAAGAGGAGCTCACACCCTTAGAGTAATATATTCAAAGTTTTCCGGGATTATACCGGTTTCTAGATTACATGTGAATTCATTTTGGATCAGTTTTAAATTACATAAGAATCCAAATGCATTTCAAAGCTTTATCGGCAGACATCTGCAAAGCACTAAGATGCAGAAAAGGACATGCCTCCAAGAAATTTCCATAGGAAATGGGGAAGCTGGGCACATAAGACAAATCTTTCAGAAAAGTAAATAAATCCAATTCATGTGCACCAAATAAATGTGCCATATTAAGGTGCTGCTTGTTCAGATTCAAACACTTGGTATTTGGACCATAGTATTGTTTGGATAGAGCCTGCTAAGGGTGACTAATGGCAAAAACAAGGTATTGCATGCATAGTATGCAATACACTTATGAGACTGCAGGGAAAAGTGGTCATGTCTGCTCTACCTGTTAAACATTTGACCTTTTTTGTAATGCTCATAAGAGCTAGTCCCTGTATGAGAGGATTGACCTGCCTGTGTAACTGCCAATAAATGCAGACTTTTCACTGTCAAGCTCTCCGATTCCATGTTTTCTGGTTAAACGGTTATAAGACCACTAAAGTAGCAACAAAATAAAGTCAGGAAATACTTGACTAGGGAGCACAAATCAACCAACCACTATGGTTTCTAAGTGTCCCAATCTGACATGAACTTTGAGAAACAGGCTAGGAGTTGTGGGTTCCACATGGCTTACAATGAATTACAACATTCAAATTCAAAACATGAACAATTTATTCACATCGAAAAAATTAACCTTCATGACAGTTAAACAGGAACATGCCACATGGGGACAGTTGCTCATATCTCATACCCCAGCTTTCATCTGACTGTGCGGTGGCAGAGGTTTCTCCAGGTGGTGACCCACAGTGAGACCGAAGGGGGAATCAGCCTGCTTTTCATGAACTTCAGGCTTCAGCTGAAAGCCTTTCACCTTATCAAAACTGTCTACGGGTGGGAAGGAGAGAGGCACTTCGCTTAAAAGACCTTGAAGACGAGTACGCCATTCTTTCAACAGGCTGTCACGAGCCTCAGCAGAGAGATGTGTGGGTGCCCAGAAGACCTGTGGTGCGAGGACCCGGAAGCCACAGTAATTGAGGACACCATTCTACAAAAGAGAAAACATTAGCACAGCAGTTCCAGGTTAGTATGACATGCAAAATCAAATGGTGCAAAATTAAGCTTAGTTGAGGGAAGAGGAGGGATGAAGCATCTTACCTGAACTGGCCACAGAGTAACATTCATATCTCCATTGATCCCATTGGAGCTGAACATGGTCTCATGGGAACCAGTGGTGAATGACAACATGGCTTTCTTTTCCTAACACAAATTAAAAACCCACTCACATTTCATTAAATGAACAACTTTTAACCTTTTCTGATTAACGCATGTAACGATTTGTTGGTCTTACCCTGAAGATGCCTGCACTGTAGCGCTTTTCCGAGGTGTACGCAAAACCAAGGGTAAGAACCCGATCCATCCAGCCTTTCATGATGGCAGGAACCGAGAACCAGTACATTGGAAACTGCAAAAGACAAAAAAAGGGAAGTAAAAGAACTACAAGTATAGCCTGGATGCCAGCCCGAACCCCACCCACAACATTTTCGGAAGTTCGGTCTGGACTCGATCCATTGAGGAGTAATTATGATCGGTTCAGAATTAGTCGGGCCAATCAAATTGCCAGGGTGGGCTTTATACGATGATGGACAGATCATCTGCAGTTACGTAATCATCACGTCACCAAAGAGCGCATGGGTTGAACTGGTTTCCCGAGATGACTGCAGCTGGAGAATTGGGATGTATAGATTCCGCCATCGCGTCTGTTATAAAAGAAATCGACAGCGCATTCATTTTAAAAGACGAACAGAGAACTGCAATCAAGGCATTTGTCGATCGGAAAGATGTGTTTGCCGTCCTTCCTACGGGATTCGGCAAACGTTTATTTTATCAGCTGGCTCCAATGGTCGCTAAGAAGATGGGACGCAATGAAAACCCTGTGGTCGTTGTGGTTTCTCCTTTGGTCGCACTCATGGAGGACCAAGTAAAATAACACATTTTACTACTTCCAGCGTGCGTGTAGTTGAGTTCTGTTAACAATTTGCGTAGCTCATAAAAAAAAAAAAAAAAAAAGTACTGCGTTGCTCTGATTGGTTGTAGGTCTATCCAATTAAGTGCAGAGTTTTTATGTTTTTTTTCTGGTTCGGTTAAGATACGCCTCAATCAAAGCCCTATGGAGCAGTATCAGACTCACATTCTGACTAGAATACAAGTATGACAAAGTCAGGCTACTACAAGTACCCAAAAGAAACAAAATTAAAATCCGATTTCTGATATATAAAAGCCTTACCTGAAAAATAACAATATCTGCTTTTTTTAGTTTCTGGTGCTCCTCTACAATATCAGAAGCTAGTCGTCCCTCCTGCCAGGCCAGCATGGTCTCCTCTCCATAGCAGAAATGTTCTGGGTTCGTCACTGCTTCTGAAAAAGAAAATTGTGCAAAATAGCCATTGCACTCCAATAAGGGCAAAAGTTGTTAAGTTTAATATTTTCTAAAACATAACACTGCCTCCAAACCAGTAATATCCTCCTTGGTTGCTGTGGCTTTGAATTTCATTTCATACAGGTCAGACACAAGAACATTGCAGCCCTGTTTCTTCAGCACATCTACAGCAGCATCTTTAATGGCTGCATTGAAAGATCCAGCACTCTGGTGCGCATACACGATCAACACTGTCTTTGCAGCTGAAAAAAAAAAAAAAAAAATCAAAAAAAAAAATCAAACAAACAAAAATTAACTGCAGCAACAAAATAACCTACCCATGTTTCTCACCCACAGGTCTCAAAAGAGCATCTACTAAACCAACAGCTTTGTGAGCTTCTTTTAAAACCACAATCACCTGAGCACAGCTGAAAGTAATTTACTAATCAATTAGTGTTGACAGGCTAGAGGCTTTCCAAAAACAAAAATCTACAGCAAAAAAAAAGGTTAAACAAAAGTGATTATTAACTGGATGTATTTCTTCTTAAAAGCAGCATCTATGAATCTTAAAAAAAAAAAAAAGAATCGCATTATGCCTGGTGGTTAGTTTACCTTTTTACCACTAGATGTCAACATGCACCACTGGAGCTATAGACGTCTATTAGAGCCATACAAATAAAATACCAATATGATAAAGATAAAAAATATATAGCCCCTATAAATTTAGTGACTCAGTTTAGAAAACAAACTGTTTTGCTTAGATACTTTTGTATCATGGCCAGGTTATAATTATGACTACAATTTTCTGTTGAAAAAAAAAAAACTTGTCTGGTCTTTGGTGTAGTTTGTGGTCTTTTAAGGGTACACTATGTAGGAATCATAGACAGTAAAAGAAATGGACACAGCGACTCCATTGATTTCAACGGAGAAAATTAAAGCCCGTTAAAAGCTGATCGCCAGGCGTACTGCACAGGCTCAAACGCTGTGCCGAGTGAAATCTGAATAATTCCCCTCCGAATCTCACAGAGACGGAGAGAGTGAGTATTAGCTGTCCATGAGCTAGCAGCAGGATCAACTTTATGACTCTCTATGGGCTTCTCCCTTGACTTTATCTGACTTTATACCTCCACGTCCCCCCGATTGCCTGCGAGCTTCTCCTCCTGTCTATATGGTAATTTCTCTACTGTGCGACGGAGAGTCGATTCATTATGACGCAATCGTTAACTTATTTTTACAAAAACTGCTTCTACAGGGCCATAACGTAAGATACAGGGAAATGCGTGCTAGTGACTGTCATAGAGGCCGTTTCATAGATTGTTGATGTATGTGATGCGTGAGGGAGCGCAATAATGACAGAATTTTGGCAGATCTTTTTTGCCGTAAAGCAATTCATTACATCGCGAGACCTGATATCACGCGATACTTCCTGATGCTATGGCCGGCGTCACGCCGGCTTAAAGTTGCAAGTGTGGTTTTTCCACTCACAGGTGATAGAAAAAAGTAATATAACCATTCCAATGACTCCGAAGCTGTTCAGTTAAGGTAAAAAACCTGCATAGTTCACCTTTAACTGCTTAGGATGGATGATGATGTGCTTGAGACCACCTAAACCGGAGACTTGCTCAGGCTGAGTTTAACTCACTAGTTAGACAATCTTAATATATTTTCCCACTGCAGTGCTTTTTTCCCCTTCAGAATGAGATCCAGCAGTTCATTCTAATATTATCAGTCTGCAATCCCGGTGGCCGCAATTTCAGGACCACATTTCTAGGACCCTAGTTTTTTGTGTGTGTGTGACAGCGCTACTCATGAAAATGACGACGTCACACATATGTCTGCGCAACGTGCGTGTGCTATCTGGGTGTGTGTCCTCTTTCTTTTGTGAAATAACGGTAAACCACTTTATTTCTGTGTGAAAAGAAAGGCTCCAATCACTCCCTCCGGCCTCTTTGGTGACGCCATGGAGTCAGTTACTGAGCATTGTTCTGAGGCGCAGAAGCACGAAGGCTATGAGGTGCGAATATTGCTGCACGTTCCAGAATTCGTCGATGTCTCTCTCTTTGTCGGCACCTCGTCCCGCCTAAGTTCGGCTGACCAGCCCGCCAAAAACGGCTCCGCACTTAGCCGGATCTTCGCCGTAGGCAGTGGGCGGGACCAGGAATGTAGCGACACGTACCACGGGAAGCGCCACGGCTAAAACAGGCGTGGGTCCGTCACTGACTTTGCCTCAAAACGCCCCGTTCTGAGAATGGAAGTGCACTGTAGCTATTTCGTGGTGCTCAAGAGGGATGGAAGACTCCGTCTGATACTGATATGTGTTTATGCTGTTACGTTGCCCTGTATCCTTCAGTGCACCTGGCTATTCTGATCTAACTGCGTATATTCACAGTTGTTGTCGCTGCTGCCACTGATGCTGTGTTTTTACACTGATATATGTTTATGCTGTTATGTTGCCCTGTATTGCTCAGTGCAACTGGCTATTCTGATCTAACTGCGTATATTCACAGTTGTTGTCACTAAGGCCACTGACGCTGTGTTTATGTTCATACTTATATGAGTCTATATGGTTATGTTGCCCTGTATTGCTCAGTGCAACTGGCTATTCTGATCTAACTGCGTATTTTCACAGTTGTTGTCGCTAAGGCCACTGACGCTATGTTTATGTTCAACTTCATACTGATATGAGTCTATACGGTTATGTTGCCCTGTATTGTTCAGTGCAACTGGCTATTCTGATCTAACTGCGTATATTCACAGTTGTTGTCACTACAGCCACTGACGCTTTGGTTATGTATACTGATATGTGATTATGATATGCAATTCCGGTGTACTTGAGCTGAGCTGTCTATCAGCTGTGAGCACTCCCAGAGGAGCAACGCTATTGGCTGTTGTTCCTACAAGAGAGTGTCAGTATCCTCGTGGCCCCGAACTGGCCAAACAGCCCTGGTTTGCGGACCTGAGAGAGTTAATGGTGGCTCCCTCATGGAAAATCCCCCTCAGGAAGGACCATGCTGTCTCAGGCGGATGGCACGATATGGCACCCCAGCCCCGAGCTGTGGAACCATAATGTGTGGCCGCTGCGGGGACCTTGAATGAGCGGGACACTCTGCATTCACGAGTGCTGAGCATAGTCGAGGAGGCACGCGCGCCTTCTACTGGATCGCCTCTGCGCTCTGAGATGGGGAGTTTTTCTGTTTACAAAATGGTGCTTGGACATCGATTTGACCCGGGGATCGTTCCGTGTCGGATGTTTCGCGCTTTCTACAGCTCGGAATGGAGAGCAGGACTTTGCCATCCACGCTAAGGTGTAGGTGGTCGCTATTGTTGCTGTTCGTTCCCCGGTTGACGGGCAATCGATCGGTAAGCACGCTTTGGTGATCAGATTTCTCAGGGGAGCGAGGAGATTGTGTTCTTCACGGCCGCCCTCCGTGCCGCCGTGAGATCTAGCTCTGTTTTTGAGAGCTCTACCTCTACCACCGTTTGAGCCCCTAGCTTCGATTGCGGTTGAGGAGCTTTCCCTGAAGACTGCCTTACTTGCTCTCACCTCAGCGAATCGCATTGGAGACTTACACGCGTTCTCGGGGAACGACGATTGTATTTGTTTCGGACCTGGCGACAGCAGCGTCACTCTCCGGCTGAGACCAGGCTACGTTCCGAAGTCACTCAACACACCATTTAGAGCACAGGTTGTTTCACTGCCCGCCTTTTCTGCTGAGCCATCAGCCTCGCGTGACGCCGACGCTAAGAGCGCTGTTTGCCCGGTAACAGGGCTTTGCGGACATACGTGGATAGCTCGGCCGCCTTTCGTCAGTCGGACCAGCTGTTCGTGTGCTTTGGTGGATGTAATAAGGGATGTGCCGTTTCAAAAGAGAGACTCTCACTAGATTGTGGATGCTATTGCATTGGCTTACGAATGCCAGGGGAAAGATTGTCCCCTTAACATCAGAGCTCATTCTACAAGGGCAATTGCTTCCTCGTGGGCCTGGGCTAGAGGTATGTCTATCCAGGATTTATGTAGCTGGCTGGTTTCTCAGAACACATTCGCCAG